TAAATGAGAAGAGCCTGTCATTTTCAGATGTTGTACTCGTGTATAAAGTCCACAGAGAGACTTTGAGCTGGGTGGGAGCGCCGAGTTGCACATCTTAGCAACAGAGAGAATAATTTTCTGGCAATGTCTCAGGCCTTTGTTTTCTTGTTGGACCTGAGATAAGAACCATGGTTATGACCTTGAAAACCCAATACATCGCCTGGAGTGTGAGGCTCCAACTGGTTTGTGTTATTCACGCTCAAACAAAGAGGCTCAATCTGCCAAGACCAATAAGCAACACTGAAGTTGATGATTAAAGATGCAAGGTCAGACATAAATGAGAACCCAAGTAAATGGGAGTGCCCTGTTGAAGTAATTACAGTTGCATTCAAGTGCATCTAGAATGGCAGAGATGTTCCAGTCAATCTGATTTGTAATCAGATTAGCAGAATAACTGACTGTTTTGTCTTCTGTTTTTTTGCACATGTGCTGTGCTTTCCCTGAAATTTCCTTTCACCATGTGATGCTTGAACATGTTGTACAAGATCATGAGACCGCCAGAAGATTCTTTTGCAAGTTTCGCAGCAAATATACTGAAACAAACATGTTTTCTGAGAATATGAGCAGTCGCCCAATTCTTTCCCCCTAGAGAACACTTGAAGTCTAACTGCAGCATGGATATCATAATAACAACAATCACTGAAATCCACTTTCATACATCAGATAACCAGATGAACAGGAAAAACTTAGAAACCACCCAAGGACTTTCATTGTTCCCTCTGCCCTGTACTGTTTCAAGAGCTCAGCAGCTTCACTGACAACAGGAAGTTCTTCAAGGGTGCCCATCTGTTATATTTTGCTCAGTTTGTTGTGGAAATGCAGCATCTGTAATTCTAGCCTAGAGAGAAAAAAAGGCTCCCAGACAGCAACTTGAAGCTGATTATTATACACAGCAGTGTCTGAGAAATAACCCATGTGGCTGTAGGTTGAATATCCTGTCTCTGCTATATGACATATGTACAGTGAAAGTTCAGAGGGTGCAAATGGTGTTGAGGTTCTGTGATATATACCTGCAATGCACCGAAATTGCATTTGCTCTTAATTCATTTTCAGTAATTCCAGTGTCCTAATACAAGCAGAATAACAATTGTGGGATGACATGACTTGGTTGAGTCATTTAGTCCACTGAGACTAAAGATGTACTCGATCATATTCCATGAAAAACAGCTGATTAAAGGATTGTGATAGTGTTGCAGAACGTGAGCAATGACGCATGGTATAACTGATTTTCTCTTTGTGCTCCTTATCTTGTAAAGTCCTGCAAACACCAGCCACAAAGACAGAAAGTGACTAGCTGCAGTTCATATTAGTTTTCCTGCGAATGGACTATGATTTAACACCAACTCTAACCCATCTTTGACAGTCAGAATATGTCATTTTTATTGGTATTATAATCTTATCCCAGTCAGGAACAAATAATGATCACAAACTTTGCCTTTTTCCAAAAATAGAGTTTAAGGCTGGATTAGGGTTATGGTTGCCTAACTTTAACCTATAAAGGCTTAGACATTAGAAGATTAAAGAGTCTTAACTTGGAGATCTGTATTTTTGTGACAACTAAAAGAAGAATTTGATGTGTGAATAACTGGCCTTTACATTCATAAACAAAAACTAAATCCCTACTGTGACTTGTCTGAAAAACTTCATCTTGCAGAGGCCATGCAGCAGGTTGAGCAAAAAAGAAGGAACGCAGAGACACTGTGCACTGCTTGGATCATTATTCACCCAACGCTCGGTTGTGAATTCCTGTCCAGGAAGGTGACTGTTTTCCAGCTGGCAAATCTGACAAGTGTCCTGCATCACCTTCTGTCTGGAAGTAACTTTAACAAAATGGCTAATATCACAGCTTTCACATTCAACATGTTCTCTTTAAATGCTTCTACAGAGATATCAAGGAATGTTTTTTCAGCTATTTAATGTCTCTCATCCACACCAAGCCATTTGACAACCAGACCCACCATGCCTACACATGCCATCTGGGCAAATGTTTCTAGAGTCAAATAAACATATCCCATTAACGAGCTGAAGTCCTAAAGTGCTGGCAGGGGACTAATCAGCTTATCCAGGAAGATTATCACCTTACGCAAAGACCCAGCTGCTGCCATCATAACTTGCTTTCTGGTATTTACAACTTTCAGTGTGCAGGTGTTGCATGACATTCACTTTTATGCTTGCTGAAAGACATTAGATGAGGGGAGGGCTGTGTAAAGTAATCTAACGCTCAAAAACTCCTAATATTTAGTTCTCATCTTCGGCCTTCTCTTCTTTTCTTGGATAAGCCAACATACTAAGAACTATCTGAATAGTCCAGCCTGTGTAATGCTTACATGGTGCTTAAATACCCTCTGAGGAGGCATTCTAGTTACTGTACTACATGAAGTATCTTTCTCTGACACACACAAACATGCTCTTCCTTATAACTCTTTCTGCGTCACCATTCAGTGCATTCAAACTGCTGTCTTGGGCATGCACCGTACAGCAAGAATGCAACAAGTATGTGATGAACTGCAGGTTTACGAGATACTCCTGCACTTCAGCAACAATAAATCACTTCACACACTTCCGCACCAGAGAATCAGTGTCACATATTTTCTGGTTTTTACATCACTCTGAATTTGAAGGATCAAGTTCTGTTATTAAAACACTTTTTTTTCTTATGTTTAAAGCCAGTGTCAATTGGACATTGAAGGAGTTTGTAATGACCGGCAAGAAGCAAATAAAGGTCTTTAAGTGGCAGTGTAATGACGAGACTTTCAGCCAAATCACTTTGTATTTAGGCCTCTGATATTACATATTTGGCTAAATATGCTTACATCTCAGCAGCTGCTTCCTTGTCTAAATATCAAGCCAAGTTTTTGGAGTTACTCAAAAATCCCCTATTGCTGTTGCTGCAGCTCTTCCATGTGAGCACGGTTTTTTATTGCCATCTCTTTCTGTAAAATATAACCTGCAATTAATTTTACTGATGCCATCACCGCAGAGTTATGAAACTCTTTCACAATGCATGCCATGCTTTTAACACTGGCACCCACATATACACGCACAGATTAATCTGGTGAGAAATTGTGTGATTAATTACCCTGAAACCACAACTTGCTTGCTGAACAAATTATTTAAGAAGTTAGGCATGCATCGGAAAGCCTGAGATGCCATTGAAATATTCTAAACAACTCAAGGAGGTTGCAACAGGCTTGTTAACTCTCATTCTTCCCAAAACAATTATTGCCTTGGCCACTACACTAGTTTGAAAAGAGACAAAGAGACAGTAAACTTGATGATTCCTGAAGATATTATATATTTGATATATATGCTGATATCATGATTGAGGTCTATTTTTTGTTTAAGCTGCAGAGTTCAACTACCTTTTAAGGTTGTTTGCAGAGTCAAAAGCGTCAAGTTAGCAAGCAAACCTCTCGAGGTTTTACGACACCCTCTGAGTCGAAGCATGCCACATCATTGTATTACAACTTTTTAAAAAATATATATATATACTTTATTAGGTTTAAAAAGAGCGCTTTGGGTCACCTTCAGGAGTTCATCTTCTTCTCTCAAAGTTGTTTATCAGCCATCATAAATCTAAAAGCTGAACCTCTTGTCTGAGGTGCTGCAGGTCTGTAGTTAAAGGGTAGTTTTAGGCCTGGTGGTACAGCTGAGCACAACACCTGGAATCCCTCAGCAACACCAATGAGCTCTGATGAAAAACAAATGTCAGCGCCTCCCCTCCGTCCCTTCTGTAAGGCCTGCAGCAGGACCGGGCTGTGTTTATCCTGGCCGAGAAGAACCTTTGGCTACTGCCAGATCAAACTGCCAGCACACTGACTCCTGACCCATATCGTGAAGGTCAGGAAAGTTCAGGAGGTTTTATGATTACTATCAACAATACATCTACTGGTTCTGGTACTACCATAAATAATATTAATAGTGATTAATTAAGATTTATTAATATAGTGTAATATTATATATTTTAAAACTAACACAAATGCCATTTCTTAAAAAAAAAAAAATAGGTTAATAAAAGAAAAAAAACTAAAACCAGTTGAGTTGTTGCCAGGTTATCCAAATGTAGAATAGTTTATAATTATTTATAAGTATTAAGTATTTAAGTCACAGAGTTTATGTTACTATGAAGGATATGTTCACTAGCATTAGTTATCCTTAGTTTCATTCAAATTATAAAACACTTTTTCTACACTATATAAATATATCCCTGTGTTGTGTCGTTCTGTTTATGTTGAGACTGATGATTTTGAACGTCGATAAGTGTTGTTCGGCCAACTGCAATGACTCACTAAACCGTACTGGCAATTTCAGCTGCCAGAAATTAGACGCCCCCATCTGTCTGCTTTGAGAGTAAAGCTCCCGTTTAGACACTGGCGTTAGGGCTAGCAGACCTCTGAGACCTGTTAATATTAATTCATTGAGCAACTTCCAACCTGAGTCAGTTTATATATATTAATTTATTTATTTATTTATTTTCCTACTTCACTTAAAGCAGCCAAATATCCCCTGTCTGTTCCCACAGCTCAATGAATGGATAAACACGCAGACGCAAGAGACGACAAAATTACTACCTACCCTGGAGACAGTTAACGGGGTGCTGAAATCCCGTCCTCCAACCAGCCGAAAACCCCACGGTGAGGGTCCCTTGAGTGTCACGGTCTGGGTCATGATAGCCAAAAAGACTGTGAGAGAATATCAGATAAATGACAGGCAGGCTGAGACGGGGAAGTGTCCGTGGTTCCTCGATATACGGATGAAAACAGGGAACGTGAACTAGCCACAGTCCTATGCCTAGCTGCTAGGCAACGCTGCCCCGGCTCTGAAAACTTTCCTCCTCGCTTGATTCAGGTTTAAATAACAAAGCCGCTTCTGACGTAGGACGACGGGCTGCCGTGCCCGCCTTCGCCCGGTCCATAGCAGAGAGAGTGGGAGGGGACGATGCTGGGTGTCGTGGCTGCTGCGTGTGGAGACTTCCAGTGGTGATATGTCACATACGAGGCAGTGTTTGTGCAAATGTTAATGGAGTGAATATAGTGTGCATGCCATTATCAGCTAAATGTGTTTGACTTGTCATTCATTCACTTCTACTCCCTCTACCTCAATGAAAGTAACAAAAGGTAAGTCTTTATTCATCTGCCACTTTCTGTTCTCAACTGCTTCTTTAGTAGGGACTCTTTTCCATTTGTATGAGTTACAGTTATACATGCCATTCTTAGTACACTAGTTTAAGGCATAATTTGTTGGACAAAGACACATTTTGTATTGCCTCTGTATCCCACCACAGAGGATTTTAAATCAGTCAATATGTGTGCAAACTTTCAGCTTCAAGTTAGGGGGTTTAACAAACATTTTCCACTAACTGTTTAGGAATTACAGCCCTTTTTATACACAGGCTCCAATTGTTAGATTAACTGAACAAACAAATTAACTGAACAAACTAATGTCATTTTTAATTTAAGGATTGTTTTTCATTCTTAGTTTTAGTTTCTTCATTTGCAGTCTTTGCGTTGTGACTACCTGAATCCTACAACCTACCAAGGCTTTACTGTTTCTTTTACTTGTTTGTGGGTCTCTCAGCATTCAGTTTTGGATTTAATAACTAAAAGCATGCTCTGCTGAGTTGAGATCAGGTGACTGACTTGACCATTGAAGAATATCCCATTTCTTTGCCTTGAGAAATTTTTGGGTTGCGTTTACGCTTTCCGTCGTTATCCTTTAACACTGTGAAGCATCGTCTGATCAGTCGTGCAGCATGTGGCTGAATCTGAGTGGAGAGGAAGGCATGCCTTACATGCACATGCCCGTAACATTGTCTCCACCATGTTTGGCAGACTGTTTCTCTCCTCCAAACTTTTATATCAGTCTGGTACAAGGTCTGGGCTTCATTTACACAAAGAGAGAGACTGTGCAGACTCTTTCATATGTTTTCTGCCTTGGTCTAATCTGGTGTTGTTATTCTTGAGTGTAAACAGTGGTTTCTACCTCGTTGTAAACTCTCTGTATTTACATTTAGGAGGGCGTCTCATGATTGTTCACCTTGACCACAATTCGCCTACCTCCTCCACTTCACTTGGTTAGATGTTATGAAGTTGTTTTTCTTAACCACTTGAATAGGATTATGCACTTTGGTTGTCTTCTGTGGCCTTTCGGGGCTTTTGGTGTTACTGAGCTGGTCACTGCAATCATTCTTTTTACAAATATACCATATTTCATTTAACCACTCCTAAATATTTTGCTGTTTCTCTGATAGGTTTACTTTGTAATATTTTAATGGCCTCCCTAATTTGCATTGACATCACTTGAAATTAAAAGCTATAAAATGCAAATTCAGCAGTTTCAATAAACTTCTGATATTATGTCTTCTTCATTTGCCATTGAAATAAAAAGGGATTGAGCCTCACCTGGTCGTGCTGTCACGCAGTCAGTCAATTGTCCAATTCATTTTGAGCCCCTGAAAAGGACACTGTGTGTGTAAAAATGGCTGTAATTCCTTAACAATTAAAGGACTTTTTAAAAAATAAAACCCCTCGAATTTAAGCTGAAAGTCTGCTCTTTGATCACATATAGACATCTTTGATTTAAAATCTTCTGTGTTGGTTCACAGAGATGCAAACAAACAAAAATGTATCTTTGTCCAACAAATTATAGTTATAACTGTACCAAGCTTTAACGTTAGCATTGCTCTAAGTAATTGCTACTGTAAATGATTTGCTTTGTCATGCATATAATCTTTCAGTTACTTTGAACATACATGCTTAAAAAATACACAATAACCAAGTCAGTCTAGAAACTCTGTTTAAAATGTCTAAACCTGTGAGAAGCTATCTATTAGGATACGCTTGAGCTTAACATATCAGAGTGTAACTGTAATTTTCACAGTTATTAAAAACCAAATTTTTAACAGGTAACATGTTAACCAAAATATTGGATAGACTGATGTTTGGATCTGATGCCAAGGAAAAGATTTTTAAGATAATCCATCCAAGAGCTGTTTGATTTGATATGGTTGAGGTAGGCATCTGCTGATATTTGCTGGCAAAACAAAACAGCTTTTGGGGAAGTTCACAAAATATCCTTGCCTTTAGGTCGTTGAAGGATAATCTGTGCGTGCACCTAAAACTAAGACCAGCCAATAACTTGCTTATCTGGGTCCTCCAAAAAATTCTGTATAGCCTGAGTGTCATAGAGTAGCAAGAAAAGATGTTATGCTGTAACTTGAATGCCTCACTAGCGGAAAGGATCTCTCCCATCTGTCAATGGATATACTAGTATCCTCTCTGCCCCACTTTCTGATTCGTTCATGTCCCCAGCCAATTACAAAGTGAGTCACTGAGCTAGACTATGATTTTTCTGCTGCAGAGGGGATGATCTCATAGACATTCCTGGGAATGTGTGTTTTAGACAACTGTAGACATGTGGAGCTCTGTCTGAAAATCTGAGTCACCTTGAATCAGACACCAGCCTATCCTGGTTACTGTGTAACAAAGTGGCACTGATGTCAGCACAAATGCAGCTCAGCATCAGGTATTTTGTGACTGTTTCTGCAAGCCTGTGTAAACTTTGCACAATGAGCTGCTGTGATGTAACAGAGTTGTGAAAACCTGAATGTATGCAGATCGTAATGATGCAAGGTGTGTGATTGTTTTAACAAGAGAGAACAGGAGAACGCGTGAGAGCGCGTGAGAGGGACGTTAAAGAAACATGAATTCATTGGACTTCCTTGAGAAAAAGAAGGCATTTTGATTGATTGCTATTATGTTTCACAGAACATTTGAATATATTATTCTATTGAGATTTAAAGAATTATTCAAGAAACTTTTGAGCATAACTAACATGCAAATTATTTAAGGCCAAACATCTTAGTCAAAATAATTACTTCATTATTGAGTCCCGTCAGACATTTGTCCCACACACAATTTCCTACAATAATGTCTGACATTCTCAGGAGAGGCACAGATCTAAGGTCACAGTGACCTAGTAACTGTATAACATATGGATTTTTGAGTTAAAGCTATAAACACATTTTGTGAACTTTTACTTTTAGTTACAGTTAACTGATAAATAAATAATTTAAACATCTGAAAACTGTCTGGAGTTTGTCAACGTGGAACAAACAAAAAAACTAAAAATTGTAAATACAGGAAATAGTTTTACTATTTGGTAATTTGGTAAAAATGTATCATCTTAAATTGCCTGATGAGGCTTTGTTCACATGTTTACTGAGAGTTTGGATGTCTATAAGTCTGCAAGTCAACTGCTCTTAAGAACTTCTTTGTTTTTAATGGAGTATTTATACTGATTTTCCTAAATCTTGCATCTGGCATATGCCCCAAATACAGTAAAACTTCAAAAGTTCTAAACTCAGACTGAAACAAATTAAAAAGAAAACTAAAAGTAAAAAGTAAAAGTAGAAACAAAAAGTCAGAATGAGTCAAAACAAAACCTAATTACAAAATACTGCTTTTAACAAAATTCTGACCAGTTCATTCCTGAATCCAGGTGGATATTAGAGCCAGACAGTATTTCTTGCAGACAGATTCAAAAGACAAGAGCAGATATGAGATCATAATAACCTTCTGCTTCTTTATTATAATGATGAGAGAATTTTTGAGTTAAGGCCACAGTGTGTTTTGTGAAGTGATAACAACCTTGAATTTTGACCCTTGAACCACCGAGTTTGAATCAGTTCATCCATCATTTTATGGCAAATCTGAATCAAGGTATTCCTAAGATATTGTACTCATTGGTTTCACAAAAAAAATCAAACCATGTATTGGTGATAGCCATTCATGGTTATCACCAATACATGTCCATACATTTGTAAACAGAGTACTGATGTTCTGAAATGTTTGACCAAACAGCATTCACAGACTGCTCTTTACTTGCTATCAAGGGCACATCAAAGGATGACTAACCAAAAACCAAGAAAGGCCGAGACGGCTGTAGATTTATTGAGCAAATCAGCAGGCTGACATCTTCTTCAAAGCCCGTCTGCAGTAAATCTGAGTCAAACTACAAAGACCTGCCATCTCTCTGTTCTTTCCTCCCTGGATGGTCATCATTTTGACGTACCCACTGCAGAGTCAAAGAAGCCTTTTCAAATCACTGCAAATCTATTTACTCTCTTATTTTCTTTACAAAGCTAAGAAGTACCTGCAGGGAAGCAGGTAAGACGAGCAGTGATGCAATCATGAGCTGTTTTCCTCCACCTGTTTTTTTTCTCTGCAGTCTGGGAGATTTTTGTCATCTGTGCTATTACACAATCACACAGCTCCTTCATTATTAATAGTTAGAGCATAATAATTATGATTATTATCAGAAAATATCTACAGATGTCCAGTAAATATGTTCTTCTGAAGTGATAAATACATCTAGTAAACAGGTGTTGTTATTCTTATCATTGTTGTTTTTTTAACAGAACACATCTTAGAATGTTTTCACTGGTGTGAATGTCCAAAGAAAATAACTCTGTGAATTGTATTTAAACTTTAAAACACAACAAAACCAGAGGTTGGATTAATGATATATGATATTATGTCCTCAACTAGCAGCTATTATAATAACTCAATCTAAGATCTGACTTTAAGTAATGTGAGACAAGTCATGCATAAGACAAATCATCAACCAAATTAGTTGTTTTCTTTAAATCTAGGGACTATTTTATTCCTCTTTGGCTCAATCTCACTATTTTCCTAAATGCAGCATCCACAGCACAGCTGATTTTGGCAATGAAAAGCTTGAGAAACCAAAAGAACATAACCTGCCCAACACCACACAGTAAAAGGACAGTTAATATGTAACTGGTGGACATAGTGGAGCAATTAGCGGCTAAAGAGCCAGATGTTTTCCCCAGGAGCTGATGGACAACAAACAGGGCTAACATGAAAACAAATGTTAGATTTTGTTAGAAACGTGGATCAAAGTGAAAATCAAAGCTAATAATAGGCCTTTCCCCCCCAGATGAGCAAGGGCACATCCTAATAAGTCGAGGCTGACTTTGAATTCAAGCTCAGCTCTCCCAAGGGGAAAGTCCTTGGTTTAAACCATTGCGCCACAAAATCTTACGCTCTGTGAGTTGCCAAAATCTTACGTCATGGCCTCGATTTTCTATACCCTGAATAAAGTGCCTAGGGGAGGAGGTGCAGGAGTCTAGTTTCCTGTTAGACCACTTGAATTACATACACTGAAAGGCTGGAGGGTTCTTTTTTTCCCCAAGATTGCCAAAAAAACGTCACCTACACCCAGCCCTTCCCACCATGGAGAAGGTGAATGAGAGCTAGAAAAATAAAAGCGATCACTGTCAGTGAATGACGGTTCGTGTTACCCATATTATCCTTTCCTTTCTACAGGAGGAGGTGTATTCTTTCTCTTTTGGTGGTTTTTCTTGTCTTTGTCTTCGCATTGTTTAGGGAACCCTTAACTATCTGCCCTCTACTTTCACCCCATATTCTTCAGCATTCATTACTTTTATTTGTTCTCTATTTTTTTTAGGAGTTACTTAGCACTCATTAAAAAAATCCTGCATGTATCATTTTAATACCAGAATCTCATGAGGCAAGCTTTAAAAGAAAAACCACAATTTTAAAAATTCCTGCAAGCAAATCTTGCAGCAGATGTAGCTCCTGATTGGTAACAGATTTACCGCATTCACGGGAAAAAGTTTGACCCTGCTTTTCAGATCACACCACATTTGGTAGCTGTATGTCCCTGCATTGAAAATGGTTAGAGCTTTGTAATGGCAAATGCTGGAAACAATGGTGACACGTACAGTGCTGGAGCACCTCATGGGGAAGCAAAAAGCTGCAAGGAAATCATGAAGCTTAATTCATGTGGCAACAATATTGCTGAGTCAGAAATGAAAAACAGATGACGCTATAACAAAAGACCACCGTGGCCCCATGGCTGCCTCAAAAGAATGCTGCAGACCTATACACCTAAGATGATATGAACATACAGAAAATACATTTATGTTTACCTATATCTGAAGATGTACATGCCTATTCCACGAGTACTCCTACATCAAAATTTTAAACCCTATATGTTCGGATTGAGAGGCTAATTGTGAGCAGGTGTTAGCGTTTATATAAAATGCTGCTAAAATGTGATATGATGGACATCAGATTGAACTCAAATTCATGCAACTTCATTTTGGAAAAGCATTTCGGGATATTGAGGTTTTAATTTGCCGAGCTCGTGAGAAAGTTGTTAAAGGATATGTTACAAAGTAATTCATCATCAAGCTGGCTACATTTACTGGACACACACATGCACACTGACCAGATGCTGGCAATGAATAATTGATCTGGTGCATTGCTGTTGTTGGAAATAACAAACAGATGCGAATGGATCTTTGAAAGGATTGTCCAAAATTCTGAGTTACAAGTGAACAAGGATCGTACATCCGCCAATGTGCTGGCACGAAAGCTAGAGAGGCCAAGTTTGACAAACGACCTTTCAGTTAAACAATAAATTATAATTCTGTAATGGTTTATTGTAACATTTATTATAATATTTGTATTGCGGTATAATAGTTTGATTCCTTTATATCTAATCCTGTAGCATTTATTTGTCTTGCTCAGCATTTGACAATCAAATGAAAAGTTCTTGGTAACTAATTCCATGCTTTTTCCTTTACAGGCGGGGTGCAACAGCTGGGTGTAAAGCAGTCAAAGGAATATGGAAGATCAGGACCTGAGCCACTAATTGTGGGTAGTCAGATACTTTAAGCTTATTACAAAACCAAGCATAAATATTAACAGTATGGCAGCGTGTTAATGGGGTGTTCACATGTGGATTAGTTTATGTTATTGTTTAGTTTTAGTTGGATGAAAAACAATAACCATGATTTTAGATGATACTAAAGCTGGCTATTAGAAAAGTTTGATGAGATGGGGACGTTTACCTTATGTAGACAGGAGGAAAAATTGTTACCCTTTTTAAGCATTTGCAAACACCAGACCATTTTGCATTTTTCCATACAGTTTTGTTCCCCTTCTTTAATCATATTGTTATTACTTAGCTCGACAGTAAATAAATAACTTTAATCCAAATCATTGTTATATTTGTATTGGAGCTGTCCATGAATCATGTGGCAACTCATTGAACTGTTTTGTTTTTTCAGTGATGATTTGCAAATGTGGACGGCACAAACTTCCTTTTTCTCACATACAGAGTATCTGATGAACATACACATGTATATGCTTACAGTCAACTATCCACTGAAATGAGTTTCAGATAACTTACCTACAAAGTCACAAAGAAAAAAACACAAATTGACACCAAGACGACTCTTTGAACCTAAATGAGCCAATCTAAACTACTCATCAGACAGTGCTATAAATTCCTGTGCACAGTTAGCACAGCTGGTATAGTTGAGCCCGACAGCAAATTATTTCACAAAAATCAAAATTAGTCAAAATTATTAGCGCTCCTGATGCTAATAATCAATTTTGTATCCTTTTAGCTGTTTGTTGTTGTAGTTTTTAACAAGTCTCACACGTGTCTCCTCTGAATAATACCAGCCCATTCTTCTTTGGCAGATCTTTTGAGCTCCTCCACCTGTATTGGTCTTCAGGCCTGGGCCTTGGTCTTAAATTCACCCCTCACATTTTCAATGAGATTCGAGTCAGGGCTTTGTGCAGGCCATTCAGTAATGGTCATTTAAGTCTTCTGGAGGTAGGTTTTCACCAGAAGTGAAGTAAGCGTGCTCTGTCATGTCGAAAGAAGGTTCTTGAGGTTTCCTTGAGGTTTCCTTCAAGATCACAATGTTGCAGCACATCATTGCATAGAAATGATTTGTGCTGTGGCTCAATTTAAAAAAAAAAAAAAAAAAAGAGTCATTTTCTCCCTTGTGCTGTTAAAAACGTTTACATTTCAGCTAGCACTACTTAATTTCATTTTCATTTTCAGGAGTATGCGTGCTGTCTGTAAATGTCAATTCACACATATTTGTGTGTAGTTTGGCTGTTTATTAGATTTAAACCAGAGTTCTGTTTATGCAACCAGCCCCAGTTTATGAGTAAAGTTTATCTGAGTAGTCTTGAAAAGACATTAAGGAAAACAAACTACCTACAGAGATAAACAGTTTGCATCTCAATGTCAGATTTTATCTACTACACAAATAATTGAATGCAGTTGTGGTTCCATGTGGAAGATGGCTTTCTCCGGAACAAAGTAAAATTCACTTAAAACCAGGAACTAGACCCCTGCTGGTTGAGATAAAGATAAATTAAATGAAGGGAAACTCTGCTCCGGGCCTCTAGTTAGCCTTTTAAACCATCTGATCCTGGTTCCGCTCTAAATGAATCATTAGCAAATGCCCCACATGCAGATATTAGACCCGATCAACACTCTAACAATGCCTTCTTTGTCCTGTGCTGGACGTTTCTGATCTGGGAAAGACAAACACATGTTTTCCATGTGTGCACGTGCCAGCTGTTGACAACTGAGTTCAGCACATTCACGGCTTTGTTTGTACTTCCAGTAGGACAATACTGCAGAGTGAGCTATTGATCCCAGCTGGCAAACCTGCCTTTTTGACTGTCCGTCTGTCTATGTACATATTTAGCGTGACTTCTAATGTTGTATATGAGCATGTATACCAACTGCATACTAAGATGAATATATGACACACATATAATGCATAACATAACACTACATACAACATTTTGACTCATTAAATAATCAACATAAATCAATGCAATCAAATAATGATACAGTTGTCTGATGCAAAGTGTGTGTACATGTGTGGATCTTTATAATTACTTTATGATAACTTTATAATTCAAAATAAAGATATACCTTTGTATTATTAAGCATTAAACAGTGCAATAGTAAAGTTTAAATAATACAGAAAGTTACTGATTTATCTTAAATATGCTTCATTCTACTGCTGTTTGTTCCCTGGTAATAAATTTTACAAACAAAGATTTTACAACCTCAAAGCTCCAATCACTCTTTAATCACTTGGTTAGCTGTGGAAGTGAATTGGAAATTTTGGTGTGCGGGTGGGAATGATGCCAAACTCACTCTTTAACTGTGCACAAGAGATATTGGTTTGACTGTTTGTATTCCTAAGACAGTGTTTTGTAATAATTCTGAAAATGTTCTTTAGATTAGATGAAACTTTATTAATCCCTCGGGTGGGTTCCGCCGGGAAATTCAGTTTCCAGTAGCACAGCACCGACAGAAGTTGCATGTTACAGATACAATAAGGGGAATGAGAGTAAGGATATAAGCATAAATATACCATATATATACATATACACATATATAAATAAAGAATATATAATAGGGATAAATAGGATTGCACATTTGAGTGAGTACGCATTATAAAGTAGGATGAAAAGGAAAAACATGAATCAAAGATAAGCTCTGAAGACACTCCTATAGAGAGAGAGCTTAGTCTGTGTCACCTGTGTTGCAGCTGAATACCGCTTAGCTTTTATGAAGTCACTTGTCAAAGATTTCTCACGAGGGCTGCTATAGTTCCATTTAGAAACTGGACAGTTAATTGTCTTGGAAATGTGGTATATGAATGATCAACACTGTAATATGAGTCTGGAACCTCGACACCTTAAACATTCATCCTTCTTTTAAAGGTTAAACCAAACGTCCTCTGTAATTCTCATTTGATGAGTTTTATGTAGGAATTGATATTTTTGATGTTAATGATCTAGCAGCCCACTCAGCAAGCAGAGCGCTTCTAAACACCGGGGTCTGATTTCATCACAACACTAGTGCAACTCAACAGTGCGTGACCACCCACACAAACAAATCTGCACACACACACGCCTCCACTTTTCTCGGCAAGTCAGGTCAGGAATATCAGATAAGCAATTGTA